ATTTCTACCCACATACGCACGCCTTCATAAAAAACAATAACAGTAATATATAAATGCGGCTGCCACACCCTACCAACTTTCAAAACAACGACTCTTTAGCAATTTACTTCTAAATGGCCAATAACTATAATCTGCCGTTACTGCTGCTGCGTTTCTGGACAAAAAAAAAAACTCGTTTTTCTGCAGCTAATTTTCAAACAAATCGCTTGAGCCTACAGCTTGTAATTGGATACGCGCAATAGATCGGAAAAGTTTAATCGCTGCGGAACGCTGCGCTGTCAACGTTGCGCTGCTTACAAACCGCTCCACGTCTGCCTTTCCTATATGCAACGCAGCATAATCGAAAACGCGAACTTATTAATCAGACCACATGCCTGACTTGACACTGTGTCACCATGTCCACCAAGCGCCATTGGGGTTGAGCTTTTGGTCATCAATGTGTTAGGATTTTTATCTTTCGCGCTTATAGTTTTATGCATTTAAATATGCACATAATCACAAACGAATATACATTTATAATTCTGTGATCCCAGCATTCGCTGCACTAATGCATTCGGATTTAAACAACCAAATACACGACGATCGACTAAATCACATATTCATTTGAATATTTTGATTTATCTTTTCTAATATTTTTCTGTTTTTGTTTTTACGCTGAATTTTCATGCTCATGATATGGCTACTTTATAGGCTGAACGCACTTATTATGAGGCTGTGACAATACGGGGAGAACGCCATGGTTAACTGTCTTGATTGAAGACGTACTCTTGTTATTGCTGTTTCATTTGGGGCTATGCAAATTTATGCATAAAATATGCAARAACATTAAAAATTTCAAATGCAGCCTTGTGTTTTTTCAACAAGCATGTCTTTTAGGCGAGTCCCATAGCGTTTGCGCACATTTATGGTCAGTTTAAAGCATATTTATTCTTCTAATTTGAACTTCTTTATATTTATACCCTAAASAGGGTGTATTAAGTTTGTCACGATGTTTGTAACACCCGAACGCAGTAGACCCTGTAAAATGTATGTATATATATACAAATGATCAGGATGATCAACTGAGTCGATTTAGTCATGTTTGTCTGTCTGTCCCTCTGTATATACGCAAACTAGTCTCTCAGTTTTTTAGATACCGCTCCGAAATTTTGCACACTTTCTTTTCTTCTCAAGCAGAATCTCCTATAGGATTACTATAGAATATATAGATCCGTCAAACTCAAGTCAATGTATTGAAAACKTTTTTATTTGACACGAAATTGGGCATACATTATTTTGTAAGGCAGCGCTATAATCTCCTGTGAAGGGTGTTAAAGCTTCGATGCAGCCATAGTTAAAGGTTTTACTTGTTTTCTTGTAAAACCACCTTAAGAAGGCGTCACCGACACAGAAGCCAACAGTTGCTTTCAGCAAATGTGCGCAAACTATTTTACTTTTTGCACTTGGAAATTTGTCCAGCTACACGCACGTATATCTAAATGTGTTAATATATTGGTTTGTCCATTCACACAACTATTCAAAGATACGCTCACTCAATCCACCTAAGTAGGTCAAAGTATTTTGCATGAGTATGTACATATGTATGGTATAGTACATAAGTAAAATGTATATTTAGCTTGCCTATGGATTTTGCATCTGTCAGCGTCTCGCACCTGCCCCTGTCGACTACCATTCGCGGTTGCAGTATTTGAAAACGTAGATATGCAGTGCAAATAAGTGAGATGAAGACATCAATCTGCGAAAAGCGTGAGGCAAATACAATGCGGTAAAAATCATATTAATAAAGCGCACAACAAACAGCTTAAATAAAAAGCTAAAATGCAAAACCGAACTAAGGTTCCCATTTTGTGGGAAGCCACCTTAAAATCGGCAACGCACCTTATTCGAATAAAAATTTAATTGGATGTATGATCTCTTAAAAAGAGTTATGTTTTATACTATCTGAACATTTTTTAATTAATACTTTAGAATGATCCCGTATTGTGATCGTGGTTAACATTCGACCGTTCTTTTACAAATCTTACTTCTGTATACATTGTTATATCATTTTCCGAGAGGATTTTCAACAAAACGCGCTCCTCAAAATACAAACGTGAATTTGATTCTAAAAATTTTAAAGCAAAGTTCTTCTATAGGTTTTTATGAAAATGTATAGTATTTTCCCCAGTCGCATGAAATTGAGGAAATATTTAATGCATTGCAATACCAATTAAGTCTCACGAGTATGTTTAATAATCGGTGCAAATGTAAAACTTGAAACGAAATATAACTTTTCCATAACACTTCAATAAAAAATGTGTCCACCGTAATGCAGCCACCGAACCATTGATTGATATATCGAGCCAATCATTTGTCGATTTCTGGCACATTTAAATGTTAACTGTATTATGCGCAAATAACATAAATTTTTGTTTGTGTAGCATACAATTTGTTGAGCATTATCATTTTGTCGCCTTAAATTCAGCCTACGAATTTAAGGCAACAAACAAGCGCTCTAATGACCTTCTTGGAGTGCTTTGCAGACTTTCAACACAATTTTATAATTCTTATTTTGCTGCCTATGCGTAACGTTATTCGTACGTATGTACATATGTATATGGCAGCCAACTTGAATCGTGACTACGGCATATGTTAAATGTGAGCACGCGTAATGTGGGGAACAATGCAATATTTCAATGTAATACATATTCACAAATATTTGCTATGTAGATTTATATTAAAAAAAATTATAAAAACAAAAAAATTGTTTAACCAACCAAAACGTTGATTGAAACTAATATGAATTATTACAAAGTGCACGTTTTTTGTACTGTTAATGTAGTGTTCTTTTAGAATAAAAAGATGTTGTTTCCTTAATATCTGTGAAAGCGATAAAGGTTATAATTTCCTGCCTAGTCCGTCTCTATATATCGATCTGAAATTTTGCGCACGTCCTTTCCTCCCCAAAAAGCTGCTTTGTCAGAACGCCGATATCGGACCATTATAACATGAAGCTGTGATGGAAACTGAATGATCGAAGTCAAGATCAAGTTATTGTAAGGAATTTTTTGTATTTGTGAAGAGTATCATAGAGTGTAATAAATTTTTTTCTTAAAAGCCCATAAAAGTACGATATCTCAATAACTAAATGCGTCAGATACATTAAATTTTACACTCGAGTGAAAATGTATATCTCGGGACCTTATTTCTTTAATGGCGTAGACCACCTGATCTCCGGAATGGAGTGGAGTACTTCTTTGTTTAATAAATCCAGACATAGTAAAAATCGAAGAATGATGAAATTTGAATATTTTGACGTGAAATTTAGCAAAAATGTCACTAACAGTACTATTAACTTWCAGAAAAAAAATTTACCGCTTCGAAAAACACGCGAAATATAAATTAAAAAATTCACCTTTCGATTTGATCACAGTACTATAACTCGTACAGCTTTTCGTTAAATCGAATGCGATATATGTGAATATATATATATATGTATGTATATKTATATATGTAACTCAATCTTAATCTTCGAAGTTTCGGCTGACTATACTCCAAATAGATTGGTGATGGTTGGTGAGGTACGTTAACGAGTAAGTTCGAAACTTCTCGAAAATACTTCTTGCGAGAGGTATAGGAGCTATGTTTCACTGAAGGAAATAGTTCTTCATTTAATTACGTTCGTTGTCGAATGTCAGGAATAAGGAGAATACTAATAATTTACTAAACTTTCTTTTAGACTAATTGGTGAAAATGAATTTCTATTTTCGTTTTTTTTTTAACTTTGCGGCAGTTTAAGACAGCAAATTACATCTTCTTTTTAAATTAACCCTAAGTTGTGCTAAGTGCAGAAACTGTTTCTGGTTTCCAAACACATGTAATATAACAAGTTTSTTTGTTTATGGAGTCGTTCTCACAATATTCTTTGTTGTCATTTTTATAAGTTGTAAATGCTTCCAGAAATGAAGTATGTATATATTGGGCATTTGCGATAGTTTTAATGATAATGTTAGAAGATGGTAAATGATATATTCGCCAAGTAGTTAGTCCCAAAAAATAATATTGTATTTAATTATATTACGCCAAGATCAATTTAATTTAGAAAGTAAAAATCGAAAAATATGCTCAATTAAGATCCCAATGTAATGTTTTCACAGTTCCTTTCGAAAGTATTTGTGAACAAATACAAAACAAGTAGCCCATCACAAATTTGTAAAAGTACGAGATACTTTAAGTACACACAGTCGTACTTATTTTTATACATAATCACACATTGTTGGGACTTTCACTTGGACACCTCCAATTCAATTAATCTATGTTCAATTGCACTTMATTGCCCCACAAAAACACTCAGAAATAGCCCATGCCGTGAACGTACGACCTCCAAATTGTTTTTGTTATGGCAAAATTGAAGGTGACCGTGTTTGAAAACTCTTTGGGCATTTCGTTTCATAGTGGTCTTCAACAACTGGTATTCACTGTTACTTATCAGCATGAGCACACACCTACACATTGAAAAGGTTATTGGCCCTAGCTGGCAGGCAATAAATATTGGGTGAATTCGAATAGCGACCGAAGCATAGCTAGTACCAGCTCAGTATTCGCCAACAATAGGGTGTAAGTACCAAGCCAAATACAAAATTGTACTCAGAGAGAAAAAACTAGTTAAAGTAAATATTTGCAGAAATATAATTTTGAATGACAGCGAATGATAAATTTCAACACCTAAAAAATGATAAATCACCATCGTCACGCTTGGGTTGATCACATATATCCAATTGATTGCAAAGTAAGTCACTATGAAAGAGCGTTTATAAATTGTGCCATAGATTGTCTTTAAAACAAATGAAGTAGTGACTTCGAGGCAAGCAAAAAGTGTATGTGCGTTGCTCTACTTCGCACGTCTGGAAGCCGTGAGAATCGATTTGAACCGATTTGCAGATATGCATAACAATTTTATACGGCAGATAAATTTAAACTATTACAAAGCATTGCTTACAACTGTTCATCTTTTCTTACAGACTATTACTATTCACCGCGGCCATATTAGCGCCATGTCTCAGCATTATTGCGCAATTTAACCACTTTGGTGAGCACCTCAACACACATACCGGCAGCGAATGCGCATTGATACTCTCGGGACCCGGACGTTCATCAGTCTATGATTACAATGTGAATCTTTTCCGTGGCACAATGTAAGTTAACTAATACTTTTCCAAATCATTACAGCATATACCTGGTTGTGCTGTGTTCACCTAAATATAAATTTACCTTTACAAATACAGGTTAATTTTGAGTCAGCGAAATTAATTTCAGTATGGTAAAAAATCAGCCGATAAGAGGTCATGTAAAAAGAAAGGCATTATGATGTTATTTCAAACTAAGAACCTCAATTCCTGTTTTTATTAATCTCTAATTTCCTCCATATTTATGTAGTCGTAAGTAGTCAAGGACCTTAAAGCCACAGAAGTGTTAAAGATTTACTTCCTTGTTGAACATTTTTTGATAGAAAATGTAATACGCTGGTACATAATTAATTATAAGTGGGCGCGTGCTCACAAACTAAAACACAAAAGTCGTAAGACGCTGGTCGCCTCGTGCCTCGGCTTCCAATTGCAGTTTACAACTTACTTGTACATAACTGTGAAATAATTTTTATTTATTGATTTATTATAATTGTTGTAGCTGTAGCAAATGGTAAGAGGGGCTTCTTCAGCAATTCGATCAAAGATCCAATTATCTAAATATGCGAACCCCAAAGTTCCCAAAAGACTGTCATGTATTTTATGAAAATAATTTATAAATAATGTTGAAATAAATCTGTTTTTATCTACAATAATCGTTTTCCAAAAATTATAACAATCATGGGGGTTGAGTTCACTGGGACAATGTAAATATTGTTTATTTAGACATGGGTTTTTCAAGAAGAAATAAAACGCATATAATTCAATGTTGTAGTTAGGAATTTAGGTTTATTATAAAGATAAGGGTTTGTCATTATATTTAAAATATGGTGAAGTGACCGCCGCGGCTAACCCGAATTAATTCCAGCAGAGAGGCCCGATCCCTTTCTTAGGCGATTGGGGCCCTATGTCAGCTATAACGCGCCGAATATTCTCTTCGGAGATATCAATCGCATTGGAATTATGTGCGTAGACAACGATTTCACGTAACCATAAAAAACAGTCCAGTGGTATTTAATCATGAGATCATGGAGGCCACGCCACAGTCCCATAATGCGAAATTATGCGCTCAGTAAAATTTTGCTTCAATAAATTTATTTTTTCATTATCTGCCTGGTATGTCATCCACACGTCTCTAGAGTTCCCGGGAGTAAGTCTGTTTATTAAGAAACGGCAAATMAAACTGAGCATAAATCAAGTAACAAAAATACCAATTTCGAACTTTGTCATTGAAAACCACACCGCTACCTTGCTTACATACTTGAAAATCTCGAAGGGATTCTCGAAAGTAACTGCTTATTGTATTTTTTTCTGTTCAATGGGAATGTACAACTAATAGTTAATTGGTCTCATTTTGCCTGTTCCATTCTTGGCCTTTTGCTTATTTTCAATTAACCAGCAATGACACAAGCGAATAAACTAAGCTCTACTTAATCACAACATATATACCAAATTGTTACATATTAACAATCTTTTCAAAGATCTTTGTAATGACTTTAATACAAATTTCGCAAACAAATTAAATATCAAGACAATTGTACCTATATATGTACGTACGTTTTACCGCCAACGAAAGAAAGTGAACTCATTTGCATGTAATGTACCATATATGTATGTGCATATGTATATGTAAAATAATGTGTAATGAATATTTGAACAGCAATAAGACTTGTTACAAACTAATTTTCTGCTTGATTTTGCACGCTATTAAAACAAATGGAGCGGCAGCTTGTTGGTGTCGTCCAAAAACAAAAGAAACTTATAAGAACTGCCGACATGTTCAGGTGTCAGCTGTGCGGCAAGTGCACTAAGTGCTTGCTATTGCAATGTGAGCTGATATGAGAGGCGCCGCAAGCAGACTATCAAAATTGAGTGAGTAATTTGAAATAAATACCCTCCTCCCAGTTGACATATKTACATGCTCAAGTAAAACCATCACATGACCAAAAACATCTTCGAATGTAACGGCATTGTTGCTGCCGCGGCTGCGTCACAGCCCGCAAACGATGAGATCAGTTTTAAAAGGCATGTCTATGCGACGTTCTCATACTGCCACAAGCCATCGCAGATTGCATTGTAAACCGAAGATTCGATGGTGAATTTCGTACCACGGCAGCTCGCCTCACAGCTTGTAACCGCCGGCAGATTCAGTTGTATTTAGTTATGTATGAAAGGCGACGGATGCAGTATTGCATCATCGCCTGTAACAGCTGTGGCATTCGCCCACCAACCAAACACCAAAGAAACGGCGAATCATGTGACCAAATTATAGCTGCAGCTGGCAGTTCGCTCTAACGGCTTTTCCGTAACCGCAGAGTCGTGGCACAAATGTATACTGTGCAAGAGGTGACTACGCGGCTAAGTTAGAGAGTGTGCGTTCAGTGCAACTATTTCGAAAAWGTCTGCATTTTAACCAATTCTTTTATGACCATTATTATTTAGAGTGAGAGAAAGTTTGCTACACAGAGTTAATATCTGTTTGTCATCGAATCAAAAGTCCGTGCTTTCTCAACTATTTATCCGGTGGAAGTTGTAAGGATTTTTATTACTTTGATGGATTATTCAAGTCGTCATTTAACTTTATTTCTGTCTATTTCTGCGTATCAAGCAATGAACTTTCTATTAAAATGGAAGTCTTGATTGTGTTTTTCAATGAGTAGTCCAACTTTAAAGTTGAGTGGGTGAAACATTCAAAATGTCCACTGTACTTCAAAATTTTAAAACAATTTCGTTTCAATTGGTGCCCTAAGTGTTTTGTGATTTGTACTTTCACCAATTTCTATTTTTTGATATTTTTTTTTAAATCATAGATTTGATCTACTTTTGCATTAGACATTTCACTTTTTCGGAAGCGACGTAACCACTGCTTAAAGCGTTTATACACATTTGAAAGGATTCGGATACATTTCTACATACAATAGAGTGCGATGAGTTCATACATAATTAAGTGAATGTGGTGGCCTTATAATTAGAAACGATATGCTAGAAAAAATCAAATCACTGTATGCTTTTACTAAGACGCGCACTTTAAATTATAATCCCCGTTATTCGAACGTTATTGTTAAYCAAACGCGTGACTATTTGCTGATTGGTTATTGAAAAATTAAAATTATTTCCCGGTTTGTGTTTCTAGGCTGGCCACGTAATTAGAAACGTGCAGTTTTTTCTGTTGATTCTTGGATTTTTTTGAACCTAGCGATAAAGTGAGTATACTTCAATTAAACAATGTTCAATTAAAAGTGTTTTCATTATTAGAATGGGGGRAAAAAAGTCATGTAYTCCCAARATGAGAGAGTTAATTGTAAGGTGCTAACAAAAGGAGAATTGTCAATGTCAGCTATCGCACAAAGGTTTTCCTGCTCCAAAGGAATGGTATTTGTAGCTATTCATTTGTATAAAAAAGACAAAGAAATTTGAAACCCCTATCAGGAAAAGCAGCAGAAGACCGGATAATTTGTAAGACGAGCAAAAACAACTCTTTTGCGTGTAATAAGGGCTGAAGTTGGACAAGAAGTGAAAGTAGAAATCTCAGCTCGGACGGTAAGAAGGGGTTTACAGGAGTCGGGACTTCGTGGGTGCCTTGCGCAAAAAAACAAAAACGCTTGTATCAAAAAAAAAATCTAAGTTCAATTTAATCCAGTCCGACGGAAAATTGTATGCAAGATGTCCTTCCAACATGGCGCTGAATCTCAGATACACTGTGAAAACAGTAAAACATGTAACACGAATTTGTTATGGTTTGGGTAACCTTTTCCTCTCATGGCATTGGCCCAATTGTGCTTGTTCAAGGGATAATGGACCAACATCAATATAAAAACATTCTGGAATATGCCAGTCCATTATATTTTCCAGCTGGCTTTCGGATAAAAATATTGATGTTTGGATTGGYCTCCGCAAAGTCCTGATCTCAACYCAATTGAAAACTTATGGGCAATTATTCTAAAGTTTACCGCGAAGTCTAGGCAATATTGTTAAAAATAAGGGATATGCAACAAAATACTAAAAATTTAATMAAATTTTCCAATTTTATATAAATATTTTTGAGTTTTTACTGTCGTTTCTAATTATATGACCAAACTCAATTTGGCGTTCTTTGTGTTTGCCTCATTTTCTTAAAAATAGAATTAATGTTGTTGTTTTTTTATGTTAAACTCAAATAAATTATGTTACTTTGTTGCTTCCAATTTATAGTTTAATGTGGCAATCTAAATTTTTAAAATAAATTAAGAAAACTATATGCAGCAAAGTCGTTTCTAATTATAACACCTTCACTGTATGTACCTATAGTTGAAATCAATTATTATTTTTTTACTTTTGCGGAATTATGCACTCATTGTAAACGCCCACATTTATTGTTTCTCGCCATTTAGTTGGCGAGCGTTTTCAACAGTGAAATCAAATGGAAAGTGAAGGTATTTAAATGTTTTTTGCTTGGGTAGGGACTTAATCCGAGCATAACAAAATATAGCTAAATATTCATTATACCCCAATAATTGCAGAATATTCTTAGAAAAAAACTATAATAACATTTTTTTATACTCCTGTTCACCTAATAGAGTTATATATATAGCAAATGTATAAATGATTAGGACTGTATGTTTGGCATCTAAGAACTCATAACATAGTATCATTAGGCCTAAAATTCGGTGAAAACTTAAACTTTTTTCGAACACCTGGCTGACTTTGATCCACATAGATTGGTTATGATATGTGAGGTACTTTAATGAAACCTAGGGAGCATTTAATTAGAAAGCGATTGAGGAYGATTTAGTACAAATTTCGCTTTGATTTTGTCAAGCAATGAAGTTGAATCCCTTCGAAGGTATTTAACCGGCGGTAATTCTTGCAAGTTGCAAGAGCATAAAATATTCGGTTATGCCCGAGCTTCCTGACTATAATACACAGCCAAACTACTATCAGGAAAGGATTCTCTTTGAATTTCAATTATTTATCTAACATATTTTCTGTAAAAAGGGATGTGAGATCAATGCCATGGACTAAATTTAATTGAAATCGGCCCCGCGTGTTCTTAGATATGGTATTTAGCCTAAAATTTGGCGGTGCCGTTCCCATCGTCCAGTGTTTACCTCGGCTCCTATAAAGTTCACTTATACCATCTCTGATGTAAAATTGTATTCCTCTGGTATATTTAATCATTGGTTTATCGCACGTACTGTACACAGTACTGTTAAATGKACGGGCTTATCTTTCGATTTAATCTATTTTTACAGTGKYGATAGGGATGCTAAAGGTATTTTTCGTGAGCGGATTCGGTTATTGTAAGCGAATTAAGATACATGTTTAATAAACCAAATAAAATTCTCCTGTGCCAAGTTACAGTTCTTTACATCTCAATTTGTTAGTGTTATTCTTTACTGGTGATGGCACCGCTTACGGTGTTATAGCGGAGTTAAAAAAAAGCCGCKCCAGTCGTTTCTTCTTTYGATATTTGGCACCAATTCAAGATACCAAGTGCAGCCAGGCTTTTTCTATTTAAACTCTTCAATGGAKACCTCCTCTTCTTCCTCTGCTTTCAACGTAGTCTACTGAATCAAAAGCCTTTAAAGCTGGAGTGTTCTTTTCCATGCGGGCAACGTGCTCTAGCCAGCGCAGCCGCTSTCTCTTATCTCGTACGACTCATCGTTTCTTCAACTGCGGTAATCGAAGTTGCCAATGCGCAAAGGACCACAAACCTTTCGCTAAGCAAAATACTCCTAAGGGGGACTTATCAGATGATGTCAATGTGGCACAATGTGTCCATGGCACAGTATGAAAAATTTGACAAAAATCGTTTAATGTGATTAATGCATTATTAAACCTTTAAGAATATTGGCAAACCTTCCTAAAAAAAAATATTTTTTCCGAGATATTGTTATATCTATCGTATTTTATGCAACCCTAACGAATAGAAGCACAAATAAGAGTGTATTCAACTCTATGGTTCAGTTTTAATATTTTTGTATTTTCTCGTGGTCAAGTCGTTGTTTTGCTACAATGGCGGCTTGTTGCCAATCGATACGAAGTCACATGACGCACTTGCTGTTTTTACTTGTTTCATTGTATTTTTATTTATTTCACTTATTTGTCTAAGCGAATMGAGCCAAAAGGGAAGTCTAAAAATRAATTTTCCAAGTAAATGTGGTGGAAGACTAGTTTTCCTAGTTTGAAATTCAATGACTGCAAACGAAAGTRAGAGACGAGTGCGTGACTACAGAGCCAAATTGCCAAAATTTACTCCGCATTCAATATTTTTAGCAATTACACACACAACTTTTTAATAGGAATAGTATAATTAAGCAATCTGTTCATTAAAGAAATACAAACTGTGCCAAAGATGTATGAAATGAAGCTGCGATTTAAATCTAGTCGGTATGCCACATTGTAAAGCGAAGAAGTGGCTGCCTGAATTGCTTCGTAACGGTACAAAGCGTTGGTAGATCGTTTTATTCATYTGACGAAGGCTGGTTTGGTGAGTAATACCTACTTCCAATGTTCTTMTTCTTTTTTACTGACGTAGAAACCGGTTACGAAGTTATTGCCGAGTTTTTTAATTCGCTGAACTTTGTCAATGTCGTCATATATCTCATACAGTCGAATGCGWTATTCGTCGCGGCTARCGCGCAAAGGACCGTAAATCTTTCGCAGAACTTTTCTCTCGAAAACTCGCAACGTCAACTCATCAGTTGTTGTCATCGTCCAAGCCTCTGCACCATATAACAGGACTGGAATATTGAGTGATTTATAGCGCTTTGTTTACTCCAATGTCGCAGATGTCAAAGGTTTAACACATATATTCTAAAGTTGTTGTTTTAGGTGTGAAGTGAATGGTCGTGGGTGCATTCTGTGGCTGCTCCAGAAAACACAAAACTTTGTATCAAATTGAAATTAAACGATTGTCGCTTTGCTAAGCTGTCGCTAAGCTCTAATTTAAGATGAAAAAAGTTTTTTTTATTTCGTTCATATTTATTAATAATATGAAGCTTACTTTTATACAAGCCTACAAAATAGGTGTTCGCTATGTTTATGGTTGTCTCATCATAGTCTGTTGCATAAGTAATCGCATTATCCAATTACTATTACATGCTAACAGTAACGAAATATATTATAAAACATACATATTTATATGCATGCATGTAAACACAAAACTACAAACTTGGTTTTGCGTCACACACTTATTGACCACATTATAGTAATTACACCGTTGACTGGGACAACAAAACGTGTGAGGCATTTGCTAAAATTGAATTCAACAAGTAACTGGCAAATTTTTATTGCCGACTTTGGCCGTTTTATATTTTCTCTAACTTTGCGAAGTGTTGCCACGTGACTCTTTAGAAATACCAGTTTATATCAACAAGGCCTAGACCGAACACCGATGATGTACTTACGCAATGAAAAGTGTAAAAGTGTAGCGATCGTTGTAATATTTTTTTTTCCTGGTTGACATAGCAAGATAGCTTTCTTCGTATCTGTAATGAGATACAAGTACGAACATATGTGCAYCTAAATAAAATTTTCAGCTCACCAGATTGGTCTGCAAGTACCACCTTAGCTTGGCTAGTCGGCTGGTCATGTGGCAGTGCAAAAAAGTCGCCTTGCAGACAAAAAAAAGTACTCATCATCCAAAATCAATGGCTAGTTGTTTAACGGCATTTCAAGTCACCTTCAACCAGCCGACACCATTTATGTTGAAATCTCCAGCGGGTTTTTTTTTTAGTTCGCAGATACTTCAATTGAATTAGGGTTTGCGTACTGATATAAAATTGCACTTAATAAAGTTCAATGCGCGCCTGGAAAAAATGTCGTAATTGACGAGGCTAAAACTAGTTCGAAYGACTATATCATGATTGCAAATGTGAAACAAATATCGAATACCGCAAAAAATTAATATGTCACGTACATGCAAATATTATCAATAATATATTGCTTAAATCTAAGCTAAGAGGAATCTAATTTATTCAAGTCTTAGAGTATAGTAAGATATAGTATGAGAGCTTTGATCTCCGAGGTATTAAAAATTTAATATTATAATGGGCATAAAAAGTATTTCTGTTCCCATGTTTTTGTATGAATTTTTACAAGAAGTACTCTATAACTTAATTTAAATAAATAAAGTCAGAATAAGTTCCACGACTTTAAAAYATCTTGAAATTTTGATTGCAAGAAATTAAAAGGGTCAAATGGCAAGRTGATTGTACTCCCAAGCCCAGATAATCATGTACCTTTAGAAATTGCCCAGTTTTTATATAATTAAACTTATACTATGTTTTGAGGGATATGAGATATAATATTATGTTTTACTTTTCATTTATTCACATTTGGATACTATTTATAAGAGCTTGATATGACTTTTCTACAGTGTATGGTACATCTTTCTAAAGTCTTTTACTGTAGTWGGTGCTTTTAAGAAAAATGTATACTAATTTATATTGAGTTAGTTTTCTTTAACTGAAATACAATATTACAAATAAATTTTATATAGAACCAAGCTCATGATTATCGAAAATGTTTACATGGAACATTCGACATTACTTAGTCATACTCAGCTCCAATGGTAAGACTGATTTCCCCCGGTTGCACGAACGTCTGGTGGTACCACTGATTGGTATCTAAAACAACTAAGAAGATAACAAATATTTTTTTAAATATACTTTTACAAAAAAAAAAAAAAAAACTTACTTATGTCCCCCTTTCGAACGATGGTGTCGAAGCGTTTACATTTGAAGTAGCATTCCGGTGGTGGTGCGAGTAGCCACCGTTTACTCCCCGACAGCTGTGCTTGCCACGATGGTAGACGTACATTGTCTATCTATGGAATGTACATTAATATACTATTTACGATYTTGCTTCATTTATACTTACATGCATGTGTGCACCCAGTCCAGCTGTGCCGATGAAGAACCAATCTACCGCGTTGTTTTCGGATGTGGGTGGAAGAAAGTAGGGACGCCCRTAATGCTTACGAAATTCTTCAGCTGTCTCAGGATTACAATTACTCCAGCCAAAATACCACGGCTGATAGCCTGTCTGTAACTCCACGCGCTCTTTAGGCATATCCAAGGCTTTGTAAAGATTCTTAAAGCCTGTCTGGTAGGGTAGAAACTGGCAATCGAGTATTTTTTTTTTGTGTTTTGCATTGAAATAAACGTCACGGAAGTACCAGTAATTGAATTTCTACAAAAAACAAAAAAAAAAAATCATAAATAAATACTCTTAGTCATTTGAAATAAATAAGTCATATCTGAAATAGTACGAAACATAAATATCTGAGAAAAGGTCCGCCGTAATCTTAAAAAAAGTACTCACAGTTGGTGCTGTCCAATTTTTTGTGGCATCCTCCACTATGACTGGCCCTCCTCCATAGGCATATCTCGATGCGAATTCCTCACTTGTTATGCCACGTAAACGTATCGCATGTTCTATTTTATCACAAAAACTGCAGTCTTCAGAAGGTCGAAAAGCATAACGAAGTGCTCTTGGCAACTCCAGTAGACAGCGCTGTAATAATTACTTTATTATCTTSGCATTTTATTATTATCTTTGGCATTTTAAGGGTTTTTTTTTCTTGGCCACACTTATTAAAATCAGACTCCATTGATTAACCAAAAGTACYAGTGAACATGCGATACATAACTATATGAATAAGATACATAACTATAATATATAAAAGATATTCCCATTCCTTCATTTATTGTGGTGATTTTCAATGTAATACATTTCAAAAACCATATTCATAGTTGTGCGGCGTGTGTTGAGAAATTGCGGTTATTTTGTGCTTCAAAAACCACCGTCATCCTTACAATTTGGCGTACTTATGATAAACGCTCACTCAGCGTCTAGCACTCAAAGTGTTTGGTCGTGTTAATTTCGCTTGTGATTTCAGTGCGGTCTCAGTTCCGTTATTCTCTTTTGCCTCTATTCGTTGATTAGTGTAAAGCTTTGCTTCATATTTATCATTCACTGAATATTTTTTATCCAGGCTTGGTGAGTTTGTTCAAATTGTGAAATGCCCCTAGGGGCAAGTGCTAGTAGGGTGAATCGTTTTGCACTACTTGCAAACGATTACCCACGCAAAAAGAAAAAACTTTCTAATGGTTCGCCTATTAATATTTTCCCCGAACTACCAAACGTCGTTGTGGCAGACCCAAAATTTCTTATTCTAGCATGTGATGATGTTAATAAAAAATGTTAATAAAAAAAATAAAAAAGACTTCTCATGTTTTGCGGTGCACAAAGCCATACAAATTATCAGCAAAGATGTTATTTCCATATCTGAGCTTAGAGACCGAAACCTTCTGCTTCTAGTAAAAGATAAAAAAAGTGCCCAAAAATTTCTGGCTACTACGCAACTACATGGTGTATGCTCTGTCAAATTTTCATTTCATGCCTCGCTGAACACAACAAAGGGAACAATACATATATGCTCCTTACCTCAACAAAGTAAGTGATGAGGAAATTGTAAAAGAATTAAGCAGCCAAGGCGTTACTACAATACATAAATTCAACAAAGTAGTTGACGGTAAGGCAACTCCCAGTGGGGTTGTTCTCCTGTCCTCCGACTCATACAAACTCCCCAGCAAAATAGATATTTCCTGGCACTCAGTAAAGGTTAGGGAGTACATTCCCAACCCTATGAGGTGCAGATCGTGCCAATTGCTAGGGCACACCGCAAACTGGTGCAAAAATAGTCCGACATGTGTAACATGCTCCTTTCCTCCCCATCACCCAA